GGACGAATATTCATTTGACAGTTCTAGCAGTGAATAGAGTTAGGGTGTGTTGGTGTATTTAGGAACTTGTTGAAAAGATTGTCATATTTTGATCATGGTACAAACATTCAACAGAAAAAAATGAATTATGCAAAAATCCTCTCTTTCTGTCTTTGGTGCACCCATCTATCAATTTCTATGTGACACATGTTAGATGGGAGAAAGAAAAAGTGATGAAATCATTTATCTAATTGCAATTTGCATGTTATAATGACACCCTTTGTGTTTGAGTAGTTATTTTCATGATTCTATTTGCCCTCATTATTGTTGCTGCCACAAAGATGCATAATTTTTTTATTTTTTGCTGCAATGCTTTTGTGTGGATAAAAAGTTGAATCATGTGCTCATCACAACTGCATCGTCCCACCATTATTCCTGAATAGTAAATACCCTTCCACAAAATTAAAGGGAAGAAGAGAATATTATCCCAAGTTCTAATTTCTTATCCCATACTTTTGCATCATCATCATATTCTTCTCTTACTTTTCCTTTCCATTCAATTCTAAAAAGTATATTCACCCAACAATTTTGTTTTTTTGTTCAAGAATATGGCATCAGGTGGTTGTGACCCTCCTCTTCCACCTTCAGGAAAATCAGATAATGAGAAGGGGAAGAAGAAATCTTATGTGGTGAAGTTGTTGTCTCGTTTAAATAATGCCAATGTTTCAAGTACGCAGCCATCTACACCTACCTCTACCTCTACACCTACCTCTACCTCCACTGGTAGATCTGTTCCACCACCATTTCAAGCTCCTAGCTTCACACCTACTCCACCATTTATTCCACCTTCATTGGAAGTTCCTGCCTTCACACCTAGTCCAGAACAAGTTGTTGTTGATCAATGGACATCACTCTCCCCCCATGTTGGTTCTAACCCAACAACTCCCACAAATATTGCACCATCACCTCGTACAGTAGATGCAGGTCCACATTCAAGTTCAGCCGCTAATGAGTTTGAAGATGTTTCCCACCCTCATCCAATCATTACACCTGTTGAGGAGGGTAACAAACATTTTAGATAATAATTTCATGTACAAAATCAATTTAATTATGCTACAATTGTATAATGTATTATTATAATATTTGACTTTTATTTTGGTATAGGTTTTATCCAACAAAAACGACATCCAAAGCAATCACAACCACCATCAAGCAACAGTTTGATGAGCCATAACTGACATAAATCCCTCAGAAAGAAAGAGGTATTTTCTTTGAGCGTTTTAAGGTATAATTGTGTTTGAATAAAAATTTACATAATGTACCACAACTTATTTTAAATGGTTGTATATGTGGTAGGGCAGTGTCAACCAGTTTTTGTTTATCTTTGATCATTTGAATTCACTAATATATTTCTTTTCTGTTTTGAATTTTCCTTTTCTAATTTAGATAGTTCTTTGTTGTTTTGATTATGTTGAAGTATCATTTTTAGTTTTCTAAAACTTTGTTGTTACAGTAGTTTTATATACATTGTGTACACTACTATAGTTTTATATCAAAATGCTATAGTTTATGGAGGACCAAAAAGTTATTTAAGCCTTAAATTAATCTATACATAAAGGTTTTATTTTTTGTGTTTTCAATTTCAACCCTTTTATCGCCATCTAAGTTTGTGGTTTGAGTCTCTTGATCAACTTCGATGTCTTCATTATTTTAGTGAATTTGGACTCTTATTAAGTTTTTCTCTAGACATAAAACTTGGTTGTAGAGACTTTGATATATCTCAAGAATCAACAACTATTAGTTAGTGCTTGCTTTAAATTTCAATAAACNCTCTTTAAAGGCAGATCTGGAGGCGAGAGCTTCCTCTCCTACAACAGCGCACTCTTCTACTCTTCCTCTTTTCCATTATTCATATAGTTTCTCCTTGTCTATGGGGAACTAAACTCTATTTGTTGTTGGGGGATGATATAACCTTGTGAACTCTCATGTATTTGAATTGATTCTTAATTTATATGTTTTTTCATTAATTGTTAGGGAATTCATTTGTTTTAATGCTTGCTCTATTTAACTCATTTAGTAGCATGATTTATGAATTGCATGAGTGTCGGGAGGTTCCTTACAATTCAGGTTCTTGTTGAATTCTCCCAAGGGTAATATTTCTCAAGGATGAGGGTATGAGTACTTGGTCGTCTTAAGCTCTTGATCTTCAGACTTACTTTTCTAGGAACGCTAGGAATTGCACGAACTAGGAATTAAGGCAAGCTTATTGCGCCGAGGGATCGGGTTCTAAGTAATTTAGTGAGTGACATTAACATTAATATAAAAAGAAGAATTCTTATATACATGAGAGTAAACTTGGTGAAATCAAACCCTAACAACATATTCATCTCATATTAAACCACATCCGTTCATCTTTGTGTTACTGTACTATTGATCAATTTGCATTTATATTTAATTTTATATCTTTGCATTTGAATCCAACAATCTTGTTTTATTTAAGTCTTAATTAATCAAGTTATCACGCAACTGTTTAGTGCAGAGAGTCCTCTTGGATACGATACTTGGTCTTACCATTTTATATTACTTGTGCGATTTGGTACACTTGCCAATCCATCAACAAGTTTTTGACGCCGTTGCCGGGGATCAAAAATATTGTTAACAAGAAGATTATATTATTTTATTATGATTGGTTTGATCCATCAAGAATAGGGACAAGAGTAGATTCAAAGTATGACACTGTGGATATTCGAATGGATAAAAGATATGTCTTGTTTGATCCTTTTATAATTGCACATAATGTAGAATAAGTGTATTATGTACCATATCCTGCATCACGCACGGACAAACGGGGTTGATGTGTTGCAATAAAGACCAAGCCTTGAGGTCGTATAGATTCTAATGAGGTAGAAGCCGAAGTGTCATACCAAGTGGAGGAAATGTCACATGTTAATGACATAATGGAAGTTTAAGAGGTTATCCGATTCAAGATATAGAAGCCGGTCTTGAAGAAGTAGACCCCAACAATGTACATCAGTTGAAGGGTATATGGATGAAGAAACAAGTGAATCGGAAGAAGAATGCAATGAAAGAGGACAAAGTGAAGATGAGGACGAAGATTCATTTAACAGTTCTAGCAGTGAATAGAGTTAGGGTGTGTTGGTGTATTTAGGAACTTGTTGAAAAGATTGTCATATTTTGATCATGGTACAAACATTCAACAGAAAAAATGAATTATGCAAAAATCCTCTCTTTCTCTCTTTGGTGCACCCATCTATCAATTTCTATGTGACATATGTTAGATGGGAGAAAGAAAAAGTGATGAATTCATTTATCTACTTGCAATTTGCATGTTATAACGACACCCTTTGTGTTTGAGTAGTTATTTTCATGATTCTATTTGCCCTCATTATTGTTGCTGCCACAAAGATGCATAATTTTTTTTTTGCTGCAATGCTTTTGTGTGGATAAAAAGTTGAATCATGTGCTCATCACAACTGCATCGTCCCACCATTATTCCTTAATAGTAAATACCCTTCCAAAAAATTAAAGGGAAGAAGAGAATATTATCCCAAGTTCCAATTTCTTATCCCATACTTTTGCATCATCATCATCTTCTTCTCTTACTTTTCCTTTCCATTCAATTCTAAACAGTATATTCACCCAACAATTTTGTTTTTTTGTTCAAGAATATGGCATAGGTGGTTGTGACCCTCCTCTTCCACCTTTAGGAAAATCAGATAATGAGAAGGGGAAGAAGAAATCTTATGTGGTGAAGTTGTTGTCCCGTTTAAATAATGTCAATGTTTCAAGTACGCAACCATCTACACCTACCTCTACCTCTACACCTACCTCTACCTCCACTAGTAGATCTGTTCCATCACCATTTCAAGTTCTTGGCTTCACACCTACTCCACCATTTATTCCACCTTCATTGGAAGTTCCTGCCTTTACACCTAGTCCAGAACAAGTTGTTATTGATCAATGGACATCACTCTCCCCCCGTGTTGGTTCTAACCCAACAACTCCCACAAATATTTCACCATCACCTCGTACAGTAGATGTAGGTCCACATTCAAGTTCAGCCGCTAATGAGTTTGAAGATGTTTCCCACTCTCGTCCAATCATTACACTTGTTGAGGAGGGTAACAAACATTTTAGATAATAATTTCATGTACAAAATGAATTTAATGTTGCTACAATTGTATAATGTATTATTCTAATATTTGACTTTTATTTTGGTATAGGTTTTATCCAACAAAAATGACATCCAAAGAAATCACAGCCACCATCAAGCAACAATTTGATGAGCCATGGCTGACATAAATCCCTCAGAAAGAAAGAGGTCTTTTCTTTGAGCGTTTTAAGGTATACTTGTGTTTGAATAAAAAATTACATTATGTACCACAACTTATTTTAAATGGTTGTATATGTGGCAAGGCAGTGTCAACCAGTTTTTGTTTATCTTTGATCATTTGAATTCACTAATATATTTCTTTTCTGTTTTGAATTTTCCTTTTCTAATTTAGATAGTTCTTTGTTGTTTTGATTATGTTGAAGTATCATTTTTAGTTTTCTAAAACTTTGTTGTTACAGTAGTTTTATAGACATTGTGTACACTACTATAGTTTTATATCAAAATGCTATAGTTTATGGAGGACCAAAAAGTTATTTAAGCCTTAAATTAATCTATACATAAAGGTTTTATTTTTTGTGTTTTCAATTTCAACCCTTTTATCGCCATCTAAGTTTGTGGTTTGAGTCTCTGGATCAACTTCGATGTCTTCATTATTTCAGTGAATTTGGACTCTTATTAAGTTTTTCTCTAGACATAAAACTTGGTTGTAGAGACTTTGATATATCTCAAGAATCAACAACTATTAGTTAGTGCTTGCTTTAAATTTCAATAAAACGTTGTAACAAGCCATTGTAGTATGAGTTTATGTGTTTGGTTTTGTCTGGTTGTTCTCTTTTCCTGCATGGAATTACTTGCAGTCATTATAAATGGCTTAGTGATAACATGTTATGTTTTCTAGAGTATTATTCATAGAATTTCAAATTTGCCAATCAGGTCTTAACTTCCTTAGGGAGTGTTGAACAATCGAAAAGAGAGAAATATTGAATTGACACCTTGTATTTCTTTAGATAGCTATTGAGAAATATCTATTTATGTGATGTTCTATTTAAGTACTTATAGAAAAGGGAAATAAGAAAGCAAAATAAAATTAGTTCATTGTATGTTCAATTCCATCTAACTATATTAGAGCAAATGGTCCAAAATATATACTTCTGGGTATGATTTGATGCCAACCCTATCAGTTCTTTACATACCAGAATGTTGTTTGGTGAAGAGCTGGAGATTAGGTACAACAAGTTTGTTTATGTGGTTCTAGAATGTATGTCAAACATCAAAACACTAACATGTATGCTTCAATTTATGCATCCAATATATATCTTTCCTTGAGCCACCGTCATGCACTTCACATGCTTACCTTTGAGAATATCTCTGGTCACTCTTGATTCATTAACTAGCTGCAAATGGTTAAAAAGATAAAATAAAAACAGTCCCAATTTTTTTCTGCTGGCTATATACATGCAAAGTTTTGAAGCATGGAAACTACCTCAATCATGGAAACTATTTTCTGCTATCTTTTTATATCAATGTATACCTAACCTATTAGTTGTAATAACAGAGAAAAGTTTCATGGAGGAGTGAGCATGAGGAAAAGGTAAAAAAAAAAATTCACACCAAAGCATCTCATAGATTATCAGAGATGTTTAAAAAAGCTCGAACAGAAGGGAAAAAACCTAATTGGATGGGGGACAGTGTTTGGAATGGTCTTTTGGAGAAGTGGAACATGCCACTTTATAGACAGAAGTGTGAAACGACCAAGAAGAACAGGACATCTGACAAGGGTGGTTGTTTGCACACTAGAGGATCCATTAGCGTGCATGAGCACGCTATTCGTCGGGTATGATGACATCTACATTTATTTTTTAATTTCTAGTCATAACAAACTTTAAAAATATTTGTTGTTAACAACTTATATTTTGTTTGCTTGTAGTCACAAGAGCTTGGTCGGTCAGTGCATGTCGATGAAATATTTCAGCAAACACATATTCGTCAATCAACAAGACAATTTGTCGATGAAAGGTCTAGGCAGACACATGTTAGTTTCTACTAACTCTATTATATTCTTTATTATGTTTTAAATCTTAGTTAGGTCTATCTATTTAACGATAATCATCTATTCATTTAACAAGAACAATTTCAAGCAAGATTTTCTGAAATAAGATCTGAGATTGCATCTGTTGGTGCTTCAGCATGTACTCCCCTAGACCCTGCAGAGGAGGAAAGATTGAGGAACCAATGTTGGTTGGAGGTTGCGGGTGGAAGGTACAAAGGACATGTACACGGCATTGAAAGCATCATTGCTCAAGATGACTGTGTCAATAGTTACATACAACAGACACAAGCATCTTCTTCTCAGCAACCGATTGTAGAAGACATTTTTAACCTCCAAACACGAGTATCAACCCATGATGACCAACTTCGACAGATGACCTCTCAATTTCAAGGCTTTATTGGCGTCATGATGCAGTACCTTCCGCCTCCTACAGTCGCAATTGAACAACAATTTCTTCAATCCCAAGATCAACCACAAACTAATGTTCAACCACAACAACCACAACAACCACAACAACCATAGCAAGCAACGAATCATCCAGAAGATGGAAATGTTTATCGAGATTACTAGTTATGTTTTTAGAAGTAGGGCATCTATAACTCAAACTTATTCTCTCAAGAACTTATTTGATGTTATTTGAACTTATTCTAATTAAAAATTATGTAAACTTCCCTATTATAATTAATGTTAAATGCTTGTTTGTGGGTTTTAAGACTTAATTCATATGTCAAATGTTTGAATGGATATAATGGGCAGGTCTTGTGAATTGGTTGAGGTTTTTTATATGTGATTTATCTGTTTGGATATGCGCAGGTCTGTTATTCACATGAATGGAAAAAAACTATATATAACTTATATATGAATGATCCGTATATAACTTATATACAAATGATCCATATATAACTTATATACGGATCATCCGTATATAAATTATATACGAATCATCCGTATATAACTTATATACGGATATATCCGTATATAATCTTATCTACACTCCAATTATATATGAATTTTTGGTCGTTCGTATATAACATCATTTTATATACGGATTTTGGAAATTATATACAAATTTTGGCCGTATATAATTGTGATTTTTTTAGTAACTATTTATATTTATTTTTATGCCAGAGAAAATTTCTTGCTTTTATTTGATTTAGAAAGATTGTGTCTTACATATTATTTTATCCTCCTTTCAAAGTAGAACACTACTAAATAAAGAAGGAAAGTAAATCTTATCCTTTCTCGAAAAACTGAACAAATGGTTCTTTCACGTGAATTTGAAATAATTAGAATTCTTGGTTTTGAAATAAATAAATAAATAAAGTAAAAAAGAACAATTATAGAAAAAACTACCTGAAGTTCTTTGGGGACAGTGAGAACTAAGGCTTTCTTCAGTCGATTTTGATTACAAACCTTGTCGCTTTAACGAGTATCATTATACATTCCATGTTGGAACTTGAAAAGTTATTAGATAATCATTTTGAACTCTCTAGAAAAATGAGCAAAACAAGAAATTGAATTCATCAAAGATGGTGAAGAATTTTTGCTCAATGGATAGTATTCTCATGTCACTAAAACCTTCAATCTATTTGCAAGGTGTCACTAGAAAATAGCACTTCCAAATTTGTTTGTTCCGTCAATTCAAGTGACAAACCCTAATAACATGTTGCTACCTTTTGTGGCGTCAACATTATGATAATTATGTGTGATCACCATCATGTATATATATTCATGTGACATATATACCCCATTTGAAGCTTCCAAATTTCTCTTCATTCATTTCCCTTCACCAAGAACTTGCTAGAGTATAAAACTAAGAAAAAGCCACCATGATGAACAATCCCTTTCAACATGAAAATTTATGAAGGGTAACCCTAAATCAACTATTAATTGGCCCAACTTTTCACCAAGTATAAACATGTGGCAGTTGCTTAAATGATGCACTGCTTGTTCAAATCTTGATAATTGACAAGTTGACCTTGGAGATGGTGATGGATTATTTTGAAATCTTGTGTTGATTAGCATTTGACAAGGATTACTAGAATGTTCATTTTAATATAGTGAAATTAGAAAAAAAAAAGTTAACCCTTTTATATGTTATAAGTTAATAGACATGTATCCCCCAATTTTATTTATAACTAGTTTTTATTAAAAATAACATCAACAATGAGGTTATTAAAAATTTTATTCTCAAACACTTCTCGTGCTTATAAATTATAATTAACTTTTTATACAAATATTTGTCATATTTGAAATTTAATATCTATTTTATAAGGATAAAATCAAAAAGTGATTGTCAATCACTAAATAACAAAAGACTAAAATTTTAAAATCGATAGAATTTGTTTTTTATAAAAACTGATACTATCTAGTTCCTGACACAGAGTAAAATGCACATGCTAATATTCAGTCATCTAAACTATGAAAAAAAAAATAACATTAGGACTAATACTATGACCCTTTTAACCTGTGGGTTCATATGGGTTTCTCTTCCAATAATAAATTGATATTTTGCATGTACATTTATCTACCCTTTTAAACAATCAAATCATATCATGAATAGATTAGCTTTTAAAAATAAAATATTAGTTGTAATAAAGAAGAATGAGACCCACAAGCATATCATTTGAGAATCCCCATGTAAATGTACCTTTATATTCATCATAACAGATAGAATGAAATGACATAAAGTAGTGTTAACTATTATTGTTCAAATGATAAACGAATTAATCAAATTCATTTTATTTTTCTTAAGAGACATAACTTTTGTAGCGTCTTTTCAATTACATTTACGTTTTCTTAACTAAATTTAACTGAAAACACTTTTACTTTCCCTTCATCTAAATATCTTTTTCAATTCTTAATTTAAACGCAATAAAATTAATTTATCATATATAATTTCTTTAACTTTTGTCCAATTCCATGCACGACAATTTCAAATCATGCTCAAACATTAACATATTCCAAAGGAAAAAAACCAAGTAATTTAACTCCAAAAGAAAACTATCTACTTTACATACGTAATGATTAAATTAGTATAATGTTTTGGTTAACTTAGTGTAATAGTTAATTTCATATTTAAACTAATATATTAAATAGAATAGATCTAAATATTATATAACTCTTAGAAAGTCTTCTTAACAATTATCAACTCTAAAATAACATGAAAAACCAATTTTTATTTAATTATGATGGGAAAACATAAATCTTCATTATTTATTTTAAGATCATACTACTTTAATTAAACCGGTTGAATATATTAATTAAATTAATTCAATTATGAATTAAAATATATATTTTAGTAGCATACATTTTATATTAAGCGGTAAATAAAATATGGATGCAATTATAAAGTATTATTATTATTATGAAAGTAGTTTATTGTGTAGAGTCTAATCTGATTCCTCAATGATTAGATATCTCCATACACATGCTGCTCTGAACTCTCCACCCTTTCCCTATTTATACCCTTCATGGTTCCCTTCACCCTCTTCACTCCTCAATTCAACTATAAATCTCTTTTCTCTCTATCTTTCTCTTCACACATATCCTTCATCAAAAGTCAATTTCATCACCCTCTGTCACCATCAATCCACTCAACATACTCTTCACCTCTAAAGAACACTGTTTCACACAAATCAAAGGTTGTCTCAAGCCAACAAAAAATGCATGACATTTGTCTCAACATGGCCCCAATGGTTCAGAACTTCGACCCTGAGGATCTCTTCTCAAGGCGTTGCATTTGGGTGAACGGACCTGTGATAGTAGGTGCTGGTCCTTCGGGTCTTGCAGTGGCTGCAGGCCTCAAAGACCAAGGTGTTCCATTCATAATCCTTGAGAGAGCAAACTGCATTGCCTCTCTCTGGCAAAACCGCACCTACGATCGCCTCAAGCTTCACCTCCCCAAACAGTTCTGCCAGCTTCCAAACTTCCCTTTCCCTGAGGACTTCCCTGAGTACCCCACAAAGTTTCAGTTCATAAGCTACCTTGAGTCCTATGCCAACCACTTCAACATAGCCCCACAGTTCAATGAAACAGTGCAGTCTGCAAAGTACGATGAGACCTTTGGCCTTTGGAGGGTCAAGACCATCAGCAGGAGGAAAGGCCCCTCCTCAGCTGCTGAGTGTGAGGTCGAGTACATTTGCAGGTGGCTTGTGGTTGCCACCGGCGAAAACTCAGAGAAAGTGGTGCCTGAGTTTGAAGGGTTGGGAGA